TTTGCCCTGTGACCTCACTTCTCTGACATATCTAAGAAGATTTTTTGTTTTTTCAGTTTTCCCAGTTTTTTACTTGTTGTTAAGACACACTGGCAGAATTTTAATCTTTTTAAGTGCCATGCCAGAAACTAGAAGTCTTTGATATTCAACTACTAAGTGTACAGTTTACACATGCAAACAGATAATTGCAGATTTACAACCAAAATTGTGACACTAACAAGTTCCCATTTTGTTCTCAACTTTGTGTCTTTTGAAAGGACAAAATTAAGCCATTTACAAATGTAACAGAGTTAGAGCAGCCCACAAAATGTGTGCTCTTAATTAAGCATAATTAGGATGTCCTACAATATAAGTTTGAGGTTTTTTTTTTATCACATTTTTGAAGCGACAAGGATGGTTTTTCTTACCAAATGCAAACGTATACCTGACTCCTTGTGCACAATGGACTTTAGGGTCCCTCTGAAAGAAAGATGTCATAAATCAGTTAAGTGAGCTTCATGAATGAAAAAGAAAATCATTTCTCTTGAGAGTTAATGATGCCAAAAGCTACACTTTCCTAAGAGAGAAAAAATATTCAAATTACAATTTTATCTTCAAAGAGATCACCAAATGTCTTTAATAAATGAATGTTGAATTTCTGTATTTGAATTGTAAATTTTTAATAACAATGGGCCTTTGAAAATTTCAGTGTATTTTAGAAGCATTGAATGCTGAGCTTTCTTTTTCAGTATGTACATTTATGAACCATACTGAAGTTAAGTGTTGAAATATCCAGTAATAGGTGTTTAATTATACCAATAAGAAGCCAGTTTCAGATTACAGGTGGAAATAAACAGAGGTTTTGAATGACAGAAGAGTCTGAAGCTTACATGTACAAGGAAAGACAAAAACCTAGTTCCAGAAGATGTTTTATAGACCATTCTTCTCTGTGATGAGTCCTCCCTAGTATATAATTATTATATAGTACATGATGTTAATATTCGTCCACTTTCTTTCCTGATATGTTCTAATATTTTCTGTGAGCATTCATTTTAAAGTATCATCTTGACTGGAATATAGTTATGGGAACTAACTCAAATTTAAACATTTACTTTCTAAAACAGTGGTTCTCAACCTTCTGGCCCTTTAAATACAGTTCCTCATGTTGTGACCCAACCATAAAATTATTTTCGTTACTACTTCATAACTGTAATGTTGCTACTGTTATGAATCGTAATGTAAATATCTGATATGCAGGATGGTCTTAGGCGACCCCTGTGAAAGGGTCGTTTGACCGCCAAAGGGGTCTCGACCCACAGGTTGAGAACCGCTGTTCTAAAATGTTCAGAAATCTTAATTAGCTGTTGACTATCATAAGTACATCTCAGTTAGTTAGTAGAACTTGCAGGAACCATTAACTGTAGACAAGTCTCAGTCAACATGTGGACTATATGCATCTCGGGAAATTTCCTGTACCTGATTCAAAATTGAAGAAAAGAACTTGATTGCATGTTAAAAGGTTGCATTTTAGATAAATATATTTTTCCAGAAAATTACAACTCATTTGAGTTGGGAAACTTACTAAGCATGGAGGTAAAAAAAGGAGATTACTTTTTACTTCGAGGATCCCAACTTTCTAGCAGAAATCTCAAGAACACTTCTCTTAGCTCTATCTCTAAGCAAGGCTGTTTTGCTAACATTTCTTTTCTCTTTTGCTAACATTTCTTCTCTCTTTTTTGTGTGTGTGTGTTTTTTTTTTACCTTTTACATCAATATCAATATACTCTACCATTTCACCCTCTCTGGTCTTAGGGTATAAATCAAGATCTGTAAAATTATTTAATAAAGGAATTTAATTGCCCTGGAAGTAAAGGTAACTTTTCTCTCTTGAAAGCCAGGGAAAGATGGTGGCACTTAAACTCCTATAGAGATTTTTTAAAAAACCCACAGTAAAAACAAAATGTAAACGCTTAAAGTTAATTCATCTGGACTTTTATTTTCCTTCAAAATTTACTGATTGAAATGTATAAAATATATATGGGTGTATTCAAAACAATGAAATGCTGTAATCAGATGTGGTTTGAGCTTTGGCATTTTATATTTGTATCTTTTGGAAAGACTTTCTGTAGTACTCTCTGGTATTTTGGTATGGACCCAAGAGATATTATGGTTCATATGTTCATCTATAATCACCTAAAAGAAAGCCAAGTATTGTCTCAAAATCAAGCTAAGCTGTGTTTTCTTACCAAACCTATTTATGTGTGGACATGGAAAGCTCAGCTAGACCACCCAAGTTAAAATTAAAGCTTCAATATCGAGAGGAGAATCTCCTTAAACTTCTTTTTAAATGTTAATTTATGTTAATTTCCATTGTTTGTCTGCTTCTGTAGGTTTACAATGTTAGTGTGCTGTTATAGCTTTTGTTGGGTGCATATTGTCTGACTTAAAAACAGAACCAGTAATGTGATCTTTTATGACAAAGGCAGCCTAATATCTATATGTTGTATTACATATTTTCATCACATACAGTGACTACTTTATGCCTAATTGGACATTTTTAGTGTTTTCATTTTCCATTTTTTTAATTAGGTAGAAATGTATTGCTAAAAATAGAGATGAATTCACATAGAGAGCTGGTCTTTGTGTTTGTATGTCTTCTATAGTAATGAGGTCACCTGGCTTCTTTCCTAGTTCTGACATCACATCTGTGTGACTTGGATAAGTCATTTTCCTCCCGGAGCCAATGTTTTCTAATAGCTATAATGAGTTAGTAATTTTATCTTAAAAGATAATGGGGTGAGGGAGATATAGAAAGTGCACAATAAAACGAATGTAAATGAAAATAAACATTGCATAAGAGCTTCAGCCAGAGAATTCGGAAAGACCTTGAGAGAAATATGAGCTGCTAGAAGGCACACCTGAATGGATGGCAAGTTAACATAGAGCCAATTATTTTTGGGGAAAAAAAATAAAGGCAGGGAACCTGTTGCAAAACTCCACAGAAGACATTGTATTTTATATGAATGGTGGTTCCTGGAGCTCTGAAATACTCATGATGTTTTCTGTGGGTGGTGCCATCTACTTACTCAGAATAAAGAATTATTGGTTTTGTCACTGGGAGTGGGACCAGTGGCAGAGACTGGAAGCTCTTACAAACACACGTATTGAGTTCTATCATGTCACTATAAGCAAACAGCAGGTCTATAAGCTTAAGCTAGTGAGATAAATAATAGATCAAGCAATTTAACAAGATATTGTGGCATTTGGGAATTTAGTCAGTATAAACTGATTGATATTTGCAGGAATTCTCTAGACACTAATTCTCTCTCTGTGTTTTTTGTATTAGTTTTTTTTTTTTGCTATTAAATCTACCCTAATCAAGACCTACTTCGTTCCAAACAAATATCCTGAGTGGAAGTTTGAAGCAAAGAGGGGAAATAAAAAGGAGCTTACTAAATGTAGGTTCATTAAGACATTAATGGTTTGAAAATTCATGTCAAGTTCTATCTATTGAACAAGAACCATTTTCATCACCATGCTTATACCTCATCTGAAGCATTTTTCTCCATTACATCTCATAATCATGATGGTTCAATAAATGATCCATATTTTATCACTATTTGCCAAGAAAATCTTTCCAGAAACTACTTGTACTATTTTGTCAAAGATGAATAACAGCTAGGTGGCACCAGAGACAGTGGAGGTAAGAGAAGCTATTAATTCAGCCACATCTTATAAATGAATATTAGTTATTTTGTGTAAAAAAAAAAGAAGAAGAAGAAGATGGAACTATAAAATGTCTTATTCCAATATTTGGAAATAAGGCTAAAGTTTGAGCCCTTACTTGACCTGAGGTGGCATAACTGTGTCTCACAGATATAGTCTGAGACACAAAGTGCCGGAACAGAAGGAAACCGGTTGCCTTTAATCCACTGCTCCGTGCTGGGGTGTGAGTAGCAGGTTGCAATAATCCTAATTCTCCTATCTGTTGAGCTAATTAGAATGGATAAATGTCCATCTCAAGCACAAACAAACAGAACATTCAGGATGTTCCTCTATAGGCATTAAATAAATATGTCAACCTATTTTATAGAGCCATAAATCTGAAACCCTTGCATATTTCATATGTTTGACCTTTCTATTGCTAGATAAAATAAACCAGTGGTTCTCAACCAGAGGAGATTTTTATTCCCACCCTCACTCCCAGGGATAGTTGACAACATCTAAAGACATTTTGGGTTGTCATGACTGGGAGCAGAGGGACAATTGACCTGTAGTGGGTAGAAGCCAGGGATGCTGTTAAACATTTCACAAAACACAAGAGGATCTCCACAACAAAGAACTATTCAGCCCCAAATGTCACTAATAACAAGGTTAAGTCTCTTGACCTGAGCCTACTCTTTCTCTATGATGTAAGAGAGATATACTCACTCTGATCTTCTCAGGGTCAGGGATTCAAAAGAATGTGAAACAATAACATGTTGAGGCACTTCACAAAGATGCTTGAGTGAACACCGCCCTTCCAATGGCGTGGCATTTCACAAATATAAAACGGTGGTCACTTGTCTCTCAGAGAATAAAATACAGCCTTAGGAGGTGATAACTTGATTGTTCTAGAGGTCATCTCTTTGAAAAGAAACAAATATATGCTTTGTAATAAACAGTGTATTTAGCAAATTCATAAACATAACAGAACAGTAAAAAATATACCTTCTATCTATTATCTATTTCACATTTAAGCATTTTCTAAAAACAAAAGTAAGAAGGGTTTGCTTTCAGTTGATAACTATGTTATTTTAAGACTGGCAACACTAGGATCCTTCGAACCACAATCAAACAGCTTAATTTATCTTATGTTTAAAAATTTCGGTTAAGAGTAGGTATTAAGCATTTTGCAATTGTTTTGGGAATTTTAAAGGTTATTAAGTTCTGAATAACAGAGTCCCTCATGTTTTCCCACCAAACTTTTCCCAGCAGTGAATATATCTGGATCTTATTCTGGTTTTTTATTCTTTTTTTAGCTTCCTGAAATGACTCATGTTCAAACACGGCGACCCTGGTTGATGTTTCTCCTGCAGAATTTTGGATTGACCCTAGGTTGGCTTTCTCTGTTACTCTTGGCTATATATGAACAAAATATTAAAATATAAGTTAAAAGCCTCAAAATCCTTCAAAAATGAATTTATATGGTCTCATTTTTGTTCCCTTTGTTGTGCTCTATAGTGACTTGTAAATTAAGTATTTTTACCTTAGTGAAGTATGTCTTTTAGTTCATTAACTTATTAATTTTATAATGCAATTTTGTGTTTGTAGTATAAACATGTCAGGTTGTCCTTAATAAAAATTTTGTTTTCAGTCTACAACATCATGGAAATCATACCTTTTTTAGTTATTAGTAAATTCTAAATTAATTTTGGTAAACTGTCAAAAATATCATTTTCTTAATAAAAAAAATGTTTGTTGGTAATATGTGAAGTGAACAGATGCCTGTTGGGATAAAATTTGCTACAACTTCCTTGATGTCAAAAATATTTTTTTTTCTGTGCGATTATAACCATAAGCAAACTAAATTCCAAATAAATGTAATAAAATTTAGTTTGAATGTGATGGTTTGTATTACCTTCTGTTACTGGATGTCGGATTCAGAATCAACTCTCACGAAACCAATATAGTATCGTTCACCTGGAAGCTTGTCTCACCAGCTCATAAATGCTTATAAACAGGCAGACTTGGGAAGCCTGAAGGGTAATATGTCAGCATTCTTCTATATAATCACCAAATGAAATCTGCTCCAGGCAAGATAAAGCTCAAAAATTTTAAAAATAACAAAGCTTAAGTCAGGCAGTAGATTAATGTGTCAGCTCACACAGATTTAACAGGGCATGTTTATAGGAATAATATTACTGACAAGCAAGATGTATTTTATATTCTTTCTGAGGAAACAGACCCCTAAACCTTATTTCAGTAGGTAGTTCATGAAATATACAAGCAACATAACTAATAACCTAGCAAAATTATTAAAATAGAAAATAGTCCTGGCTTTAGTCATTTTTCTTGGAAAAGAGTTGCCTAATATTTTTCTTATTTTTTTCATAATATATATGGACAAGGGGAAAAGCCCGTTTTACTGCCCAAATGACTCATGGCACTCAATCAAACTCATCCCCGCTACCTCTTACTCACCAGGAGGTAGATACCTTTGCCGGGTCCCACCCAAGCATAGTCTTTTTCAACCACTTTTATTTGTTTTAAAAAATGAGGTGGGTTTCTCCTTCAGTTGTTTGTAGAGATTGATTTAAGGGGGCATCATGATAAATGTAATAGTCCTCAGATGTTGACGTACATTAGGATTAACTGGTGGATTTATTAAAATACAGACTTTTGGCATCCCTCCTGAGAGATTCTGATTCTGTAAGTCCTGGTGGGGGATGGGGTCAAGACTGATTTTGAACAACTTTCCAGCGATAGTAAGGCTGATGCTGCAGGTCAGGGCACCCCTCTGAGCTCCACAGGAGTGGTGGAAGTCAGGCACACCTGGCTTCACAGAGAGCATGCGTACAACTCTGTTGCCGAGGGGCTATGTGATTTTAAGTTGATTAACACACCACAAACCTTGTGCTAGATCTGAGTTCCCAGTTTAAAATCTTCTCTTGACCCCCTTGCCTTTGAGAGCCGCATCTATCACAGGAATGACTGGATAAGGAGTAGTACACATATTTGCCTTGAAAGGTAAGCAGACTGAACACGGGGAGTTTTGCCCTTCTTTTTTTAGGGAATAACTTGCAGCCAAACAAAAACCCTTTGTACATGTCAGCACAGTGTGGAGGTTGCACAAAGTAGCACCTGGCACTATGTGTATTTGGATTTCGATGAACAAGTCGTGATTTTAACAGTAAGCCTTAATTTTAGCCAATTTAATTAGAAAAGCTCTAATGATGACTTTGTTCCAAGTTCCAGTTTAGAGTAGTTTGGGGCTATCTAAATTAAAATTTGTGATGTGAGCTACCCACTTCATACCCTTCAAGTTAGAGTGAGTTTAATATGTCTCCTCTGGTGAGGTTGTGGGCTGGTTCCAGAGGGGCTTGAAGGCAGCTGGCTGGGGAAGGATTTGGAGGGACATTCTCAGTGAGTATTCTGTGAGCCAGTCACCAGTGTGCCCTGACTGTAAGCAGAGACCTGACCGTCAGAGGTCATGCAGAGGTCATCCTGAAAACAGTTTGCTGTAGTGGCTCCCAAAGGCACCTCTCTCGGCTCCCAACCCTCCCTCGAGCTACCTTAAAACTGGCTCTTTGCTAATCCACATCAGGTGGATTAATTGGCTTATCCAGGCCAGCAACCCAATAGCCCAGTGG